GGGTGACATGGGGGGACATGGGGTGACATGGGGGGACCCAGGCATCTGGGAGAGGGTGTGGGGGTCCAAGCGGGGTGACACGGGGGGACCCAGGGTGACACGGGGGGATGGGGGGGTGCAGGGTGACAGGGGAAGGTGCAGGGTGACCCAGGGTGACCCAGGGGGACCCAGGGCAGGGGAGCGTGCAGGGTGACACAGGGTGACACAGGGTGACAGGGGAAGGTGCAGGGTGACACAGGGTGACATGGGGGGACCCAGGGTGACACAGGGTGACAAGAGGGGATGCAGGGTGACAAAGGAGGGTGCAGGGTGACACAGGGTGACAGGGGAAGGTGCAGGGTGACACAGGGTGACCCAGGTGGACCCAGGGAGACCCAGGGGAGGGTGCAGGGTGACACAGGGTGAAATGGGGGGACTCAGGGTGACACAGGGGGACCCAGGGGGACACGGGGGGACCCAGGGGGACACGGGGTGCTGGGTGTGTGTGTGTGCAAGGTGACAGGGGAGCGTGCAGGGTGACACAGGGTGACACAGGGTGACAGGGGAAGGTGCAGGGTGACACAGGGTGACATGGGGGGACCCAGGGTGACACAGGGTGACAAGAGGGGATGCAGGGTGACAAAGGAGGGTGCAGGGTGACACAGGGTGACAGGGGAAGGTGCAGGGTGACACAGGGTGACCCAGGTGGACCCAGGGAGACCCAGGGGAGGGTGCAGGGTGACACAGGGTGAAATGGGGGGACTCAGGGTGACACAGGGGGACCCAGGGGGACACGGGGGGACCCAGGGGGACACGGGGTGCTGGGTGTGTGTGTGTGCAAGGTGACAGGGGAGCGTGCAGGGTGACACAGGGTGACACAGGGTGACAGGGGAAGGTGCAGGGTGACACAGGGTGACATGGGGGGACCCAGGGTGACACAGGGTGACAAGAGGGGATGCAGGGTGACAAAGGAGGGTGCAGGGTGACACAGGGTGACAGGGGAAGGTGCAGGGTGACACAGGGTGACCCAGGTGGACCCAGGGAGACCCAGGGGAGGGTGCAGGGTGACACAGGGTGAAATGGGGGGACTCAGGGTGACACAGGGGGACCCAGGGGGACACGGGGGGACCCAGGGGGACACGGGGTGCTGGGTGTGTGTGTGTGCAAGGTGACAGGGGAGCGTGCAGGGTGACACAGGGTGACACAGGGTGACAGGGGAAGGTGCAGGGTGACACAGGGTGACATGGGGGGACCCAGGGTGACACAGGGTGACAAGAGGGGATGCAGGGTGACAAAGGAGGGTGCAGGGTGACACAGGGTGACAGGGGAAGGTGCAGGGTGACACAGGGTGACCCAGGTGGACCCAGGGAGACCCAGGGGAGGGTGCAGGGTGACACAGGGTGAAATGGGGGGACTCAGGGTGACACGGGGGGACCCAGGGGGACACGGGGTGCTGGGTGTGTGTGTGTGCAAGGTGACAGGGGAGCGTGCAGGGTGACACAGGGTGACACAGGGTGACAGGGGAAGGTGCAGGGTGACACAGGGTGACATGGGGGGACCCAGGGTGACACAGGGTGACAAGAGGGGATGCAGGGTGACAAAGGAGGGTGCAGGGTGACACAGGGTGACAGGGGAAGGTGCAGGGTGACACAGGGTGACCCAGGTGGACCCAGGGAGACCCAGGGGAGGGTGCAGGGTGACACAGGGTGAAATGGGGGGACTCAGGGTGACACGGGGGGACCCAGGGGGACACGGGGTGCTGGGTGTGTGTGTGTGCAAGGTGACAGGGGAGCGTGCAGGGTGACACAGGGTGACACAGGGTGACAGGGGAAGGTGCAGGGTGACACAGGGTGACATGGGGGGACCCAGGGTGACACAGGGTGACAAGAGGGGATGCAGGGTGACAAAGGAGGGTGCAGGGTGACACAGGGTGACAGGGGAAGGTGCAGGGTGACACAGGGTGACCCAGGTGGACCCAGGGAGACCCAGGGGAGGGTGCAGGGTGACACAGGGTGAAATGGGGGGACTCAGGGTGACACGGGGGGACCCAGGGGGACACGGGGTGCTGGGTGTGTGTGTGTGCAAGGTGACAGGGGAGCGTGCAGGGTGACACAGGGTGACACAGGGTGACAGGGGAAGGTGCAGGGTGACACAGGGTGACATGGGGGGACCCAGGGTGACACAGGGTGACAAGAGGGGATGCAGGGTGACAAAGGAGGGTGCAGGGTGACACAGGGTGACAGGGGAAGGTGCAGGGTGACACAGGGTGACCCAGGTGGACCCAGGGAGACCCAGGGGAGGGTGCAGGGTGACACAGGGTGAAATGGGGGGACTCAGGGTGACACGGGGGGACCCAGGGGGACACGGGGTGCTGGGTGTGTGTGTGTGCAAGGTGACAGGGGAGCGTGCAGGGTGACACAGGGTGACACAGGGTGACAGGGGAAGGTGCAGGGTGACACAGGGTGACATGGGGGGACCCAGGGTGACACAGGGTGACAAGAGGGGATGCAGGGTGACAAAGGAGGGTGCAGGGTGACACAGGGTGACAGGGGAAGGTGCAGGGTGACACAGGGTGACCCAGGTGGACCCAGGGAGACCCAGGGGAGGGTGCAGGGTGACACAGGGTGAAATGGGGGGACTCAGGGTGACACGGGGGGACCCAGGGGGACACGGGGTGCTGGGTGTGTGTGTGTGCAAGGTGACAGGGGAGCGTGCAGGGTGACACAGGGTGACACAGGGTGACAGGGGAAGGTGCAGGGTGACACAGGGTGACATGGGGGGACCCAGGGTGACACAGGGTGACAAGAGGGGATGCAGGGTGACAAAGGAGGGTGCAGGGTGACACAGGGTGACAGGGGAAGGTGCAGGGTGACACAGGGTGACCCAGGTGGACCCAGGGAGACCCAGGGGAGGGTGCAGGGTGCGAAAAGGCCCTCGGCCACCGCCAGGAGGTGGCCGGGTCCCCTCAGCGCCTGGCCCAGCCCCCGCAGCTCCGCCGCCACCCCTGGATCTGTGGGATGGGGGGGAAACTGAGTCACGGTGTGTGGGGGGGTGGGGTCACCCGTGGGTGAGCCGGAGTGGGGACACCCCTGGGAGATCCCCAGTGTGGGGGTGGGGACAACCCTGGGAGACCTGGAGTGGGGATGGGGACCCCACCACCCATCCCAGCCATGGGGACAGGGACCCTGGGGTGTCCCCCATGAGGATGGGGACCCCACCACCCATCCCAACCATGGGGACAGGGACCCTGGGGTGTCCCCCATGAGGATGGGGACCCCAAATCCCACCCAAACATGGGGACAAGGACCCCACCACCTACCCCAAACATGGGAACAGGGACCCTCGGGTGTCCCCCATGAGGATGGGGACCCCACCACCCACCCCAACCATGGGGACAGGGACCCCGGGGACCCTCACCGTTGATGCTGAAGCCCATGGCCACCTCCAGCTGATGACGGCCATGCCCGGCGGTGGCCAGCTGGAGGGCCACCAAGACAGCGGTGGCCCCATGGGGCGCGAAGATGGCGTTGGTGTCCCCTCGGTGTCCCACTGCCTCCCGGAAGAGCCGCAACCCGAAGTCGGCCACCAGCTGGGCCACCCGTCCTGTCGCCGGTGTCCCAGCACCCACTAGGGCCAGCCAGGCCAGGGCCACCAGGGCCACCGGGGCCACCTTCATCCTGGCCAGGGGTCACCCAGGTCACTGCGGTGACCTTGATGCCCCCAGGGCGCTGCAGCTCCCTCCCCTCCCAGGGGACCCGGCCACCCAGCGGCCACCAAGGTGACCCCAGTGGTGACCCTGGTGCTGGTCCCAGTCCTGGTGCTGGTCCCAGTCCCAGTGCTGGTGATGGTCCCAGTCCCGGTGTCAGCCCCAATCCCAGTCCCAGTGCTGGTCCCAGTCCTGGTGCTGGTCCCAGTCCCAGTCCCAGAATCAGCCCCAATCCCAGTCCCGGTGCTGGTCCCAGTCCTGGTGCTGGTCCCAATCCCAGTCCCAGTCCCAGCATAAGCCCCAGTCCCAGTCCCATTGCTGGTCCCAGTCCCAGTGCTGGTGTCACCCCCAGTGCTGGTCCCAGTCCCGGTGCTGGTCCCAGTCCTGGTGCTGGTCCCAATCCCAGTCCCAGTCCCAGCATAAGCCCCAGTCCCAGTCCCATTGCTGGTCCCAGTCCCAGTGCTGGTGTCACCCCCAGTGCTGGTCCCAGTCCCGGTGCTGGTCCCAGTCCTGGTGCTGGTCCCAATCCCAGTCCCAGTCCCAGCATAAGCCCCAGTCCCAGTCCCATTGCTGGTCCCAGTCCCAGTGCTGGTGTCACCCCCAGTGCTGGTCCCAGTCCCGGTGCTGGGTCCCCCCCCGCCGGTGCCCCCTTACCTGTTGCTCTCAATCCCGGTGTCGCGGTGTCTGTCCCGGTGTCAGTCCCGGTCTCCGTCCGGTTGTCCCGGTTTGTCCCGGTGTTGGTCCTGCTGTCCCAGTATCAGCACTGGTTTTGCTCCCAGTGTCCCAGTACTGGTCCTGGTGTCAGTCCCGGTGTCCCAGTCCCAATCCCAGTGTCAGTCCCGGTGTCCTGGTGTCACTCAGTCCCAGTTTTGTTCCCAGTGTCCCGGTCTTGACCCCGGTGTTATTCCCGGTATCCCAGTCTTGGTCCCGTTCTTGGTCCCAGTGTTGGTCCCGGTGCCGTTCCTGGTGCTGTTCCCGGTGTTATTCCCGGTGTCCCAGTGCCGTTCCCGGTGTTATTCCTGGTGCTGTTCCCGGTGCCGTTCCCGGTGTCCTGGGGTTATTCCCGGTGTCCTGGTGCTATTCCCGGTGCCCCGGTGTTATTCCCGGTGCTATTCCCGGTGTCCTGGTGTTATTCCCAGTGTCCCGGTGCCGTTCCCGGTGTTATTCCTGGTGTCCCAGTCTTGGTCCTGGTGTTGTTCCCGGTGTCCTGGTGCTATTCCCAGTGTCCCGGTGTTATTCCCGGTGTTATTCCTGGTGTCCCAGTGCTGTTCCCAGTGTTATTCCCGGTGTCCCGATCTTGGTCCCGGTGTCGTTCCTGGTATCCTGGTGCTATTCCCGGTATCCTGGTGTTATTCCCAGTGTCCCGGTGCCGTTCCCGGTGTTATTCCCGGTGTCCTGGTCTTGGTCCCGGTGTTATTCCCGGTGTCCTGGTGCTATTCCTGGTGTCCCGGTGCCGTTCCCGGTGTTATTCCCGGTGTCCTGGTGCTATTCCTGGTGTCCTGGTGCCGTTCCTGGTGTCCCGGTGCCGTTCCCGGTGTTATTCCCGGTGTCCTGGT